CCACTGACCTCTGCGATACTAGTGCAGCGCTCTACCAATTGAGCTAACAATTTTTTTCAGGTCTGATTTTCGCTATTGCTTAAATAGCGCTATCTACTGCGAGGATCGTGCATCATATGCAAATTACTTTGTTATCATGTTAACTGGATACAGGTCTCTATCACAACAGGGTCACCCTTAGCCTCATTCCTGTTCAAAGGTTTGGCCACCAAGCCCACAACTGTAAAAGGGACTATTTGGGAATTGAACCCTCAGCTTTCTGCATTACAATCCGGCGTTAACCGTGAGCCAACCAAGCGCTCTTTTTCATTTCCAGCTTTGATTCGATCAATTTTCAAAGAGACTACTCCTTTAAAATTGATCATGAAAATGTCTTTTGTCGGCAAGTGTTGAAAATTTATTCATATTTTTTTTAATCAAATGTGGGAAATATATCTTTTAAGAAGTTCAGTGGAATTTCCTGCGTGTGTTTTTACAGCTGGCTAAATCAGTGTTTTCCATTTCTTTTACTTTCTTTTTTTCAGTGGTGTCCGCCTTGTATGCGTCTGTTACCTGAATACAGAAAAGCAGCTCGATCATTTGAAGATCACGAAGTTGGTTTTGGTACCGTAGACTGTACGATTCATTCTAACTTATGTCATATGGTAAGAATGTGACCGAACAATGAAACTGAAAAAAAAAAAAACAACAACAACAACAACAACCATTATTTCACCTTCCCCTCCTATCTCGCTGAAGGTAGCAAAAGAGGGGACGCGTCCTGATTCCATTTCAAGCACGAAGTTAAGAAAAATTCACGCGTCTCGTATATAAAAAGAGAGAACTTCAAATCTCTCTTTCTGTTTACAGTGTTTCAGGGAAATCGTGAGGTTTTCACGAACTGAAAGAAAATTCACGGGTCACGTACATTTCAGGAGGCAAATCACGCTTCTCGCTGATTCTCACTTCTTACGCTCGCCTTTCTGTTAAGTGCGCGCGTTTTATAATAATTTTGGCTTCAACCACGCGTCCTGTATAAACCCTTTGCCAGCCTACTTTCTTGCATGCATCTGACTGTAGTCTTGTAAGACTTCTGAAAAGGCTTTTTCTCTAACGCCTTATTACATCCTCGCGGTGACTAGACTACCCCACTGCACTCAGATGTTTGAACAAATTTTCTTGTATGTTGTCGTGGTCCTCTGTACTTTTTCTAAAAGTCAACAATAGAATATATAGAGCAAGATAAATGTTTTTAAGAAGTTAGAGCTTTGAGTATCAGCAAACAAAAACCGAAGTGACCCTAACAGGCAATCAGAACAACGGAAAATATCACAAGGAGCCAATGGGAAATCAAAGTAAAAGCACGGAAACTGCCAAAAGCGCGGGAAATTGCCCAAAGCGCGGGAAAACGCGGATTATCAAGTCGCGATTGGTTTTAGTCTCGAATTTGATTAGTTGAAAAAGTGGCTCGAGTTTCCTGGACCAATAAGAGAGCAAAGTTAGTCAATGCAACTCAGGTTTACTTTCTACACCCGATTGAAAATTTCTCTTGCTTGACCGTCATTTACATTTAACAGCGCTGTAAGTAATGGTGAGTAAGGTTAGTTTTGTACCCTTTTGTACATGTTGTAAGTAAACCATGAGAGAGTATGACTCCCATGACTAATTTTTCTTTCCTGTCTTTCAGTATAACATTCGCTCTTATCCAACTACGATATTGTACAATAACACCCATCCTCATCAATTTACGGGCCACCACACAGCAGCTGATTTGGTGGAGTTTATCGAGGTAAGGTTTTCAGCACATGTGGCATGATGCTGTCTCGTCAACAAACTCAAGCTATGCGCGGCAAAATGGTTAGCTAGAGGGAGTGTAATTGGGTTGAGCTAAGCGCGGGAAAATGGGTTACTAGGGGCAGAGTGATTGGGTCAAGCTAAGCGCGGGAAAATGGATAGCCAGAAGCATTGTAATTGGGTTAAGCTGAGGGCGGGAAAATGGGTAGCCGTCTTCATGCATAAAAGGCACTGGTGTTAATTTTGAATCTGATTGGTGGAGAAAATGGCGCGAATATTCTGTAGCAGTGGAGGCGCCAAGTAAAGCAAAACCATTGCAATCTAGGATTACTTTCGGGGCTCAATTGAAAATTGCCGAGGCAGAACTAGCTGAACATGATCGGTGCTGTATCCTTCCCATATTAAGGCGAATAGCCAGTAAAATATTCTCTGTCTGATTATTTTAGAACACCCTGAAACCTTCAGTTGTACAGCTGACGCCTGAAACATTTAAGTCTTTGGTTGGGGAAAGGAAGAAAGGAGAAACGTGGCTGGTGGATTTTTATGCTCCCTGGTGTGGACCGTGTAATGAACTGGCTCCCGACTGGAACAAACTGGCCAAGGTGCTGAATCTGAAACACCCCTATTTTAGTAGACTTGATAAAATTATGCTGACGACGATGATTAAATTGATGTTAACGATGATAACTTTGGTAGGAATGATATTTATAATAGAAATAACGATAAAGATAAGATAACAGTAACGTTCATACTGATAACGATAGTTACGATGAGGTTAAAAGTAATAATAATTATATTGATAATATTTAAAAATATTAATAATAAAAAAATTATTATAGCGTTTTAAGAGGGAGCTGAATGGGGGCCTTAAAGACGTTCTTAATTGCAATGAAATATATGAAATACTAGGAGAAACTGTTCTCACCTACTTACGTTTATTAGTTAACTTAAAACACGAATCAGTTACTGACTTTTCGCAAATAAGCAAAACTAGCTAACTGAATTCTTTCGTTTGATAAAAGAGCGAATAGCAACTAGGTCAGAAGCAACAGGTTGATGTTGATTTTATACTTTCTATTTGGCAGCAAATGCAAGGAGAAGCTGGTGTTGGTTCAGTGGACTGTCAAAAGTACCGATCATTGTGCCAAGAGCAAGGAGTGAATTCATATCCTACCATTCGTCTCTATCCTCACTATTCCCAAGGATCCCGCACCTATGTGTGAGTATGTTTTAGATTTTTAAAGCAGTTTTCAATTGAGTTCGCAAAAAAAAGGCAGCCAATAGGAGCGAACGCTGACATCAT